TATCTATTATAATTAGTCGATGCTTATCACCTGGACAATGTAGAAGCACCAGACAGCAGTTATGATCGCATGTGCCATGTGCTACAGGGTGCATGCAATCACATAGGCTAACACAACTACTTTCAAAATAGCTCGGGCTGGGGGAGAAAGAAAGCTAAGGTGGATTATAATGTGGACATATAGTCCCAGTTGGTGGCTCGGTTTGGGACTATAGGTGCTCCTTTAGTCTCGGACTGAGCCACCAATCAGGACTAAAGATGCGTGGGATCTTTAATATAACCCTGGTTGAAGCCAACTTTGATGCATTATATTTCCTCTCATTCAATCTTGATAGTAGTAGTCTGAGTCACTACTGACCTTTTCGAGTCAAATGACGTGGTGATCTCGCATTATAGTATTATATATTAATCCTAATTTTGTGGGCGGCTTGCTCGGACACTTGTCATAGAATCCATGGAAACAGTGTGCACCAATCAGTGTCAGATAACTTTCATAAAATTGTTCGAAAAGGGACCTTTCTCTGATCCCTCTTTTGGTTGATATAAACCTTGTGGTACGTATCATACTATTTTCTGTATGGTAAATATCATGAGCCTGTTCGTTGGTTGGTTTCTGGGCTGATAAACCCCACTAGTGCTGGTTTATTGTGACTTGTGAGAGAAAAACATTGTTGGCTGGCTGATAAGCTCTGGCTGGCTGAAACCAACAAGCGAATAAGATGCATGTATCATGATGTCAGTAGCCAATCAGCATGCAAGGAAAACATGCATTCCGAGTGTGCTGACGGCCTCGATAGTCTCATTATTACTGTACAATACTAATGCAAGAAGAACAATCCAAATCAATGCAAGGACATGGTTCACCCACAACAAAAATATACTCCATTCCATAAGTATCGTCGTCGTCGTCGGATAATACAAGTTACAAGAAGCGCTCTCTTTGGTGCAATTATACCTCTAGCCTCAGCTTCTTGTGTGCATTATAGGATGTCAGATACATAATGACAAGTAACACGACACACCTGGCTGAAACCGATGCAGATTATATACTCTCTGACTAGGCCCCTCAGTTTTCTTTTGTGCATTATAGGATGTCAGAGGAGCATAATGACACCTCCAAACACAAAAAAAAACTAATTACACAGTTGGCTGAAACCGATGCAGATTTGAACCTTACCTCCATAATTGACTCAATATATATCTGGAGCCAAAAAAAAAAGATCTAAAAACCCTCAATATATATCTGGAGAAAAAAAAAGAAAGAAACAAGAAGAGAAACAGGAAACACATATGGATCCAATGATCAATATTCGTGTGACACTGTGACTTGACGTGCCATTCGAAGCCACACAACGAGGCTCGCCTGCATGGCAGCATCGATCATTGCATTGGCCTGATGATGATGATGTGTATGCATATCTAGCCATGGTGCTGAGGGTCCGGGCCACCCGGCACCTCCCGCTTGCGGGCGCCGTCGCCTTGCACGCTCTGCACATTCCACCTCCCCCTTCGAATGCCGCCCCGTCTGCCACCGCCGGTGCCGCCCGCGCCCGCCCTCGCCTCGGTCCCGGCCACGTCGTAGCTGTCCGGGGCAGCATAGCCTGGCGGCACGACGCGAGCTTCGGCCGCCGTTGCCGCGAGCGCCGCGCCGACGATCAGCACCAGCAGGCTGCAGAGCACAATGCCGACGCGAGCCATGGATGGAACGTACCGAAAACGTTCGCGATCAGCAGGCCGACGACGATGCAGCGCGCAAGAACTGTCTGCCGCGGGACGTGTACCGATCGAGAGAGAGGCCCGAGAGCTGGAGTCAGTGTGCGCCTCGGTGTCGTGCTACCCTGTCATGGCCAGGTGCCCAGGTGCCGCCCGCTATTTATAGGGCCAATGGGATGGAGTCACAGGGCAGCAGTTACAAAACAAACATTTGTTTGGAGGGCCCGGGCGTTTTTGTGGATAATTGGTGGGTGGTTTGGTTTAGGTGGTGATCGAGTGGCCACTATCGCTGGCAGAGCAGCGGCTGGCTGGCTAGCGCCGGCAGGGCAGATCATGCATGCAGATATGCGGTGGTGCGCCATGGAAGTTTTGTCCACCGCTTTCTTCTTCCTGCGCTGACGATGTGTGTGAAGTGTGATTATATCCCGATAGATCCTGCAATGGCCCGGCCGCGCCTTTTCGCCTTCGTGGCTCCTGGCTTCCTGCAATCTGCACTTCGGCCGCGTTTCAGGCGATAGACGGCGAGAGGCGCTAAGGCCAATGCGGTGCTCCGATGTTCGCCTGTTGCGCATGCGTTCCGGTGTCGGTCAGCCGCTGCGATGCTTCTACCTGTGCTGACTGTGCATGTTGCACCACTAACTACCTAGGAAGGTTCCGTTCATGTGGATGATGAATGGGGTATTCAGATGTGAAACTGAAGTACTACCGAAAGGTTTTACAGGAATCGACGTTGACACCTTTTTCAGATCTAATCTAATTGATGTTGACAACTTGACTGCATCCGTCCGAGCTGTGTTACGGTTACAGAAATGTTATATACTGAAGTATATATGGCTATAGCATGTACACTTGCGTGTAAGGACAAATTGGCACCATAACTTTTCATTGAAACTCAGTTGCCAAGAAACGATCATCCAAAGTGCCCCTACAATTCCTCAGCAATCCCCTCCAATCCCCATGAAGAATGGTATATCGAAAGAACACCTAAAGTTGCAACTATTTACCCGCATTTGTCATCAATCAAAGAAATACATACGTGAACCCTATTCATCCACTGCCCCTCCCACCCCATTCAGCGCAGCACGCCCGCACCATTGCATTCCCGAATGCAGTTCAAATAATAGGTGGAACTTACAATTGGAAGTAGTAATGAACCGGTCCAGCAGTGCAGCAATACATGTGTTTTTTAATAGAGTAGAACAGGATCTGGCATGTATCTATATACCTGTTGCAATGATGGTTGTGTGCAAATAGTAGATAAGTCAAGGGGAGAAGAAAAAGAAAGTCGCTGCAAAATGAGATGCCTTTGCAACATGAGCTCAACGAAGATGTCATGGATGACAGGGACATGGGCAAGCTACGAGATGCTATTGCAGCTGCTTTGGCGGCCACATGATAGAACCAAGATCTTTTGTTATGTTATTGTGCCCGCAAAAATATACTAATGGAATACAGTATATAAATGCATATATCTAAATGCATGTTAATTATGGATGCAATGGCGCCAAAGGGAAAATGCCATTTTTTGTTGACAGAAAATACGGTAAGAAACATAACCTCATTTTTGCAAGATCGATAGAATCAATATTTACAACCCTTGCATTCAGTAAATTGGATCGCTTTGGAACAGCAAACTTTTTGCAATCTCATTTTGATAAGTAACTGCAGGAATCTGCACTATTCATTAGATAATGTGCAAGTCTAGAGTGAGAAAGCCCTTTGAATTCCTTGACCAAATCACCTTTCAGGTGTCAGGATAAAAGTGCCCCATCATCAACGATTACTTAACGAACACCTTTGTCCCTATGCAGATAGTGCCCAGTGGGAAGGAAAGCAATAACCGATAAAAGCCATTGCTTGGATGCTATAGAAGCCTTATTACCTTGCCAATGTGCATGCTTCGTCAAAAGCCCCAGGTACCTCAGAGTGTCAGTAGGTGTCTCTGTCATAGACTTGTGCTTTATCGTCTTTGCAACCGACTAACCACATCCTAACTTGCAACGACCAGCTGACCTCCTCATACTGCGAAAAGACAACTTGAAGAATTTTATGGGATAATCATTCCAAAGCAAACCAAGGGGTCTCAGATGATAGATATGAATGAGTTGTCAAAAAGCAATCCACGTTTCAGATACACATTGAGTAGGAAAGACACATGATACAAATTATAGTAGGTATTCTCAAAGTTCCAATCATGCTAAAGCACTCAGAGCAGGTTAACATCAGCTAGATTCAAGTTAAGCATAGTAACAAAAGGTAACTTACTGAACCCATTCCGGTTGCTTCAACCTCTCTATCGAGTATCGACTGTACATAGCTGAGGTGCACCTTGGCAAATCCAAAACAATCATCGTTTTCCTTTTACCCTCCTTTTGGCATGCTTATTGACGGAAGTGATGTTTTTCAGTAAATAAACGAAACTGAATATAATAATAGATTCTTCATGCTCACTACAATTTTAAGCCATGGCATGATTCTTCAGTTCTTCACATTCCATAGATTACTTGAATATAAGTAACGGTACAGTACCTTTGGGACATTTCTACCTTGCTAATCATTTCCATTTAGCTCCTTGGACATGCACAATTCCATTCCCTTGTAACTTTCACAAAGTACAAGGATCAGATTCAAGTGCCCAAGGGAGCATTGTCATTGAGACGTAAAATCGTAAATGGTCTTGAGGGCTATGTTCCCAGGTCACCAAAAATAGCAGCCATCCTTCTTGCCTCTTTCTTATCCTTGCTCAACCCTAATCATGATGATAACATTATGAGAGGCCTCGATGTTTTGCTAAATGAATGATGTAACGTGGGTACCAGAAAGATTGATAATAATTGTGACCTAGAGAGCGGGCTTGGCACAATGTTAGAGTCTCTCCACTTGTGTCCTTGAAAAGTAAAGCAAGGGTACGGCTGTCTAGAAGTTCCCTTCCCCAAACCCCACATTATATAATTGTTTTCAACACTGGGTAAGTTTTGTAATTAAACAACTTAAGATGGTATTAACAAAAGACAAACTGTGGGAAAACAAATATGACAAACCAGAATGCTACTGCATCTACCAGAAAAGCTTCATCAATGAGGATGCATGATCTAACATCTAAATGGATAGAACAAAACAGACATGGTGATCTTATATCTCTCTTCTATTTTAGTGGTACTTCGATATGTGCAAATCCAATAAAAAATGAACTTGATCAAATACATTCATTCTAAATATTGAACTAACAGCAAAAAAAAAAAAGATTAGTTAAAGAGACGAAAAGCACACCTCCATGCAACAGGAATTCTATTTGATCCACTGCTGGCTAAAAACTTGTGCCTCTGTTACACCATATGTCTTGCATCCTTGGAGGAATGTGCGCCATATGACAGTGCTTGGTTGGAAAGGCATGCCTCTAATCACGACCTCAGCTTCCTTCAAATAACCACACTTGCATAGCATGTCAACCACACAAATGTAATGCTCCATATCAGCTTCAATTGAATAATCAGCTTTCATATTTTTGAATATCTCCATCCCCTCCTGCACAAGTCTACCATGTCTACAAGATGACAGGACTGCTAGAATTGCTACTTTGTCAGGTTTGCAGCCGTCCTTTTCCATGGCTTTAAACAATGCCAAGGCCTTACGAGAAAAACCATTAAGTCCAAGTCCGGAAATCGCAGTTGTCCATGATATAAGGTTCCTGTCTTCCATTTCGTCAAAGACTCTGAGACAGTCTTCAATTCTACCACATTTAGCATACATATCTAGCAACATATTATCAACATAACTGTCAGAGCAACTGGAATTGGTCTTGATGATAAGCCCATGAATCAACTTACCAAGATAAAGGCTGTTGTTTTTGGTACAAATGCTCAGCAGGCTCACAGATACATAATTATCGAAACGGTGCCCAAAAATTCTCATCTGCCTGAAAAATCCAAAAGCTTCAACGAAATCACCATTCCGTGCGCAAGCAGTAATAAGTATGCTTCATGAAATAGTATCTCGATCTTGCTTATGTAGAAGTAGGTCCTTAGTTTCTTGGTGCATGCGAGCTTTGTTACAGACGCCAGCTAAAACATTCATAGAGACACTACATGAGTCTTGATCCAGTGCAACTCCATAAGACAAGGCATAAAAAATAATGCCATGTGAAGCATACAATGATATGATAGCACTTGAAACATAGTCATTACAACCATGACCCAATCTTATGACCAATGAGTGAACCTGCTGGAGATCAAAAAGTGATGGATCCTTGAGAGATGAAGAAAAAGTAACTTCATTTGGTTTAATCCCTGATCGCAGCATGTCTCTCACAATAACCAAACAAGTTGGATCATCACAACCAGAGTGACCAGAAATCAGAGCATTCCAACACGTGGTGCTATTTCCAGGAACCCCTTCAGGCACTTTATGAGCATCCCCCCTACTAATACAATTTGCATAGAAACCAACCAATGAAGTGTTCACGAAAACACACTTGTGCTGAGATTGTGCTTGGTAACTTTTGCGTGAACAAACCTCCCAAGTTCGTGTCCATCTATAACAGTGCAAGCATAGAGAACACTAGCAAATGTAATTTCATTTGGAAAAATGCCCTGACGTTGCATACTCAAGAAAAGCTCAAAAGCTCTCTCTGGGACATGACTCCTTGCAAAACCAGTTGTCATTGTATTCCAACAAACCACATCTCTAAACATTATCTCATCGAATAGCTTCTCTGCCACATCTATTGCACCGCAAGTACAGTATGAATTCAGCAATGCATTTGCAACTGCTGAGACGGAATCCATTCCGATTTTCTTCATTACACCATGAACTTGCTCTGGCAAACCAAACGAAGGCAATACTGCAACAAACGAGCCATCTGACAAGCCATTGCCGCTTCTCATGAGCTCCCTGAACCAGGACACTGCATCACGGCTGTGTCCAAACTGTGCAAACGAAGAGATGAGACAGTTCCAGGTGACAACGCTCCTCACGGTCATTTCACCGAACACCTTGAGCGCCTCGTCGAACTGTCCTCTCCGCCCAAAGAACCCCACTAGCGAGGTCCCCGAGTAGGGCTCGCAATGGAGCAGGCCGCTCTTGAGAATATGCGGGTGCAGCTGCGCGGCACAGCAGGCGGTGGCGGAAGGCGAGGCGAGGATCGGTGCGAAGGTGAACGCGGTCAGGGCGACGCCGGCAGCGAGCATGCGCGCGAGGAGCGAGAGGGCGTCGACCACGCGACCGGCGCGGGCGCGGGATGCGATGAGGGAATTGAAGAGGGACGCGGAGAGCGGCGGGCTCGAACGCGGCATCCCGTCGAGCAAGCGGCGGGCGCGGCATGGGGAAGGTGGTGGGAAGCGCGCGGCGCAGTTGTGTTGGCGCGGTCTCGGGCTCTCGATGTTGGCGCGGGCACTCGGGCAGCATTGCTGCAAGCCTGCAAGACGAGATGACCTGCACCGCTGCACGCGATGGGCCAGCCGTGCCTATATGGGCTGGCGGGCTTGTGTTTCTCAAAAAAAAAAAAAAAATTGAACTGTTGGACATCCTCGACCTTGAAAATTATGGAGGTAAACCGAACAACAAATGTTTTTCAAGTTTTTTTCCATGAAAATTTATGCAATTATTAAAAATATAAAATCTAGTATAACCTTCGAAAAAATTAGCTTAGAAATTTATGAAACTGATTTCACATTTTCCCTAAAGCAATACTCTATCTTCTTCCTCGACTTGGAAGTATTTGAGTCTTCTATAGACTTGTTTTGGTTTTTATTTGCTATTAAATTATCTTGTATGCATTGTAATTAGTCTACGTTGATGACCCTGACTATATAAAAGTTCGGGTGGTCATCGTGGAACACTAAGGACACCGGTCGAGAAAGCCTTTCTGTCGTGATGCTTTTACTAAATGACTAATATAGACACTCATATAGATCATATAAAATGCACTCCCTCGAGGGTTGTCAATACTATACTCGACACATACATGTGCTCGCTCAGGAGCTCTAGACGATACATATCACATGGCCCTTTGTCGCGTGGGGCCTCCACATGGTTGGACTCCTCCAGGCACGGATGCTACACCCACTTTTTGTCGTGGTGGAAAAATCCACAAAGTTGATTGAAGCGAAGGCAATCATCATGATCATTATGGAATTGTCGGTGTTTTCGTACCACCGACGAGTAAAATTGTAATTACGCATCTGGCTCGAATGGTGTGCTCGGAGGACACAAGGGTTTATACTGGTTCGGGCGGAACATCCCTACATCCAGTTTGTTGCTGCTCGTGTTACCGGCACTTGATTTGTAGTAGGGGTTACAAACAGGGCGAGAGAGGAAAAGGATCCTAAGTCTCTGGTGAAAGGAATGAACGGGTGCTGAGAGCTCGATCGCTGCTCAGCCGTGTGCTCGTGTCGTGCTCTTGTGTTTTTATCTCGTGGTTCGGTTTTGTGCGGATCTTGATCCCCCTTTTCATAGGGGTGTCCTGCTTCCCCTTTTATAGGCGAAGGGAGAGCATGTGTTACAACAGAGGAAAAAGAGAAGAGCCAGAGAGAGAAGAAGGCTTTCAGGATCGTCGGGTCCTTCTTCCTCTTCATGCGGGTACCGCCGACCTTGTAGACATCAACAGGGACGGCTCCACGTCGTGGCCCTGTTCGTCACTGACGCCATGCGCAGGCGTCGTCTGCTGGTCATGGCGTTCCATTCCGTCCTGGTGACATCGTGGTGAACTGACGCGCCTGTCAGTGTTCGTACGAGGGTTAGGCAGAACAACACCGGTACGTCCGACGCTGTTCTTGATGTGAATCCTTAGGTATGGCCCGTCATGGCCTCAGGTTACATCGAGTCATGCACGTCTCTTCCCTGCTGTCAGAGTTTTGACCCAGGCCCATACGCCTGGACCTAGAGTGGTTGGCGGCGATATGGGCCTTGTCGGGCGAGATGGAGCCCGCGACCCTTCGGGGTCGGGCGAGACGGAGCTCATGACCTTAGGGCGAGACGGCCTCGCGCTCGGGGTCGGGCGAGCGAGATCAAACCTTAGGCGAAGGTCCTTGGGGTTTGGCGAGACGGAGCCCGTGTCCTTGGGGTTTGGCGAGACGGAGCCCGCGACCCTTCGGAGTCGGATGAGACGGAGCACGCACCCAAGGGTCGGCGCGAGACTGAGCCCGCGGCCTTGGGGTCGGATGAGACGGAAACTGCGTCCTTGGGGTCGGGCGAGACGGAGCCTGTACCCAAGGGGTCGGGCGAGACATGTTAATACGTCTTTCTCTGTCCGGAGGAGTCAGCGTGGGCGCTAACTCCCTTGCTTTGGGTATCCCTAATATCGATACCCGACAGGAATGAGTTGTCGAATTCTCCCTAGATATATATTGTATATATCGATTTGTTGTCCCAATAACATAATCACTGAGAATGACATTTCCTAGATACTGTATATATCAATTCGCAACAAGATAGAGTATTGTTTGAGCTTTAGGGATAAAAGAAAAAGGTTTCACAGGCGAGTGCGAGGAAAAGACGGAGGAAAAAGAAAATAAAAAAAGGAAAAAAAGGAGAAGGTGCAAAAATGACATTTGTTTTGTATTTGATCTGTGCAAAATACTTCCCTGGTTTCTCTCTCTCTCCCTCACTTCTTTGCTTTGTTTCTCTTCATAAGTGAACTCTTGTATGCATCATCATATCCCATGGAAATCTTATACGAGCTGCTATTTTTGCCGGCACCACCCTTCAGGGCCAGGAAGAAGCCGAGAGAGGAGAAAGAAGAGCAAAAACCCGAGAGAGAGGAGAAAGAAGAGGAAGAAGCCTCGGCCAGGAAGGTGGGGCGACGGGTTAAAACACCACCTCGGCGCCGGGGTCATTGGCGCCAAGCCCGGTGCCATAGATCTTGGCGTCAAGCTTGGCGCCAATGACTCCGGCGCCGAGGTGCCACGTTTGCGTCGACGTCGACGTGGCCGAGGAAGCTCGGCGCTAATTACTGTGGCGCCGAGACGTGTAATCTCGGCGCCAATTACTACGGCGCCGAGCAGAGGGTCCAGATTTTGAAAGCATACATCTGGGGGTATATTTGTGAAAATCTTTCAAAAAAGGTCATAAAACAAAAAATTCAGTCTCAAGACGAACGGATAAATAATGGTCGGTGTGACTAATTATTCAAAATCCGGTTGCATCCCTTTTTCTGTCATCTCAGACCTAATCGATCGATCGTCCCTGCCACTGTCCTGATGCCATACATGCAGATAGCTAATTAAGTTGCAGCCAGCCGTGTAAGATCCACTAGTCGACAGGAGTGACCTATATCTTTTGCTGATTGTACATGCGAGTATACTAGCTTAGTGTTCTTTTTGCCGACCGGGCGGTACAAGTCGCCGCCAACACGATCGATCGAGATGTTGGAATCGTTGGCGTGTCAGGTTAATAGGTTGCTGTCTGCCCGCCCATGCATGCATGTGGTGGACGAGCTCACTTTGATTTGTTTTTTTGGATCACGTACTCGAGTGTTAGCGTTGGGCTGTTCGTTGGCTACTTGTTATTATTGTTATCTTCGTTCCGGCCGGTGTGGCGGTGCTTGTCTTGCTTATCTGCTCGATCGCCTGGCTGCCTGATTTCTGAGGGTACTGCACCGACCTTACTATAGTGCATGATATATCGTTCGAAGAAAGGAGCTAGTTACATCAAACGTAAAAGCTGCTATGGCCAAATGTTACACGGTCCCATGCTACTCCAGAACATGCTATCTCTACGGGTCTATCACTGTTGGATACTCTGAAGGTGACAATAAGCCGTCTTCACTGTCGGGTTGTAAACCTAGAACCTGGACAATGATTTGAAACCTATTGACCCGATAGGGAAATCTCTCTTCACTACCGGGTCAGACCGCAACACGACAATGATATGCTGATGCGGGTCATGGTTTGACTCGGTAGTGGCAACACACGATATCACTACCTAGTTATGGATTGACCCGACAGGTCCTATTCATCCGTTGGATTCACCTACACTTGATTACTCGGTTCTTCATTGTCGGATCCAGCTACCTATTGCTTCTAGTTAAAATAGGCCCCAGGAATCTTCCTTGCTTCCAAGGCTAGCGTTAGGCAGCAATCGATAGGTTCCTCTAGATGCGCTCTTGTAGTCTCACATGGGTCTGCCATGTTCAGTCCTAGTTTTATCCCAAGTTTTTCCTTCAAGCTTCTTCTGGGAGGAACCTTCCTTTTGTGATAAAGCTCTCCACATACAACTCTTCGTAGTCAAGATGGTACATGAGAGGTACCAGAAGAAGATTTGTGAAGACACAGCCACACCAGATCTAAGAAGTGCTACGAGCAATGCTAAAATGATCCGGTTGGTTCTTAAGATTCCATAAAGTTTTGGGTGGCTTTGGCCCACTTCCTTCTCCTAGCCACACTGACCCATGTGCCAAGCTTGGCACCTGTGAGACCCAAGGTACCCGAAGAAGGTTCATGAGATGGTTATTTAAATATCGCTTCAATGGTACACTACCTAGGTCAGAGTATATGGGAATATCTACCTACAGTGGGGTTATAATGTGTTTGTAGACTTCGATGTTAACATTAGCCTAGTCAGGAAAATGTTGTACCTCTTTATTGAAAGGTCTTTGTCACTATATATGTAACTTTCTTTAAAGGTGTGTTATTCTATATTGCATTGTATAAAACTTTTGTCTTATCTACTATAAAACTTTCTTCACGTGTAGTATAGATGACATATTATGTTATTGTTTGGGAGTTTCAGAATTTTTTGAAAGAATTCACTATTTTATATAGTTTCAGATTTTTTGTATAAAACTTTTGTCTTATCTACTATTTTATATAGAAAGGAATTCCAAGTTAAACTATGTGTGCTCCAACAATATTTAAAAAGAATACATAAATTTATATTTGAGCTAATATGGTCCATTCAAGCCCTTGTCGTGAAGATAGATGAAAATTTTAGTTATTTCAAAGATAATTTAAACTTCTAGCTCTAGAATACTACTCCCTCTATTCCAAATTAAAAATCATTCCAACCTTCTTGAAGAGTCAAAGCATCTCAAGTTTGACCAAAGTTATAGAGAGAATTATAAAGACTTATAACATCAAATGTGTATTACTATGAAAATATAATTAATAAAAAATCTAATGATACTTATTTGTTATCATAAATATTATTATTTTATTATTTAAATTTGGTTAAACTTGAGATTTTTTTACTTTCCAAGAAAGTTGGAATGCCTTATAATTTGAGATGGAAAGAGTACAAAATAATTCTAATAATATCTAAAAGCTGTTAGCAAAATCTAAAAATTGGCATCAAAGCATATTTTGAGTACACGTGCTTGCCATGGATCTTTTAAATGATTTACATCATTCACAAAATAGATCATATACCTCAAACATAGTTTTATGTACTCCCTCTATCATGAAATGTAGTGTATTTTCAAATGTAAGCACCACATAGTCTCACAATAGCATAATTGAAGTCTTATTTACAATGATTAAACTATTACTAGTATACCGCCGCACATAAAGGAGCAGTTCAAAATTTCAAGTCACATTATTATAAATTTATAATATATGCTTACATGTCCAACATCGTAGTAGGCAAACGACAAAGTTCACTCACAATCTTTATTTGGCGCACATGCGTCGCTATCCCAAAACAACGCGCGCGCGAGGACGTCGACGAAATCAGAGCGAGAACGGGGTGGACAGTGGGCAGGACGACCGGTGGCGTGATTTGAGGTTAGGGTTTGGATTTTCAAGGGAGCCCTCCATGGCCAGCATGCTTAGAAAGAGAAGAGCCCGATGGCAGCGGTCGGCCCGACGGTGGTGGTGGGTTGAGGGGCGGCGTTGCTGTCGAGCGGGTGGTGGAAGACAACCAGATAGGGGATACCAGCAGCAGGGACAAGATGGCAAGCTTTACTCCTCTGGTTAGATTTAGGGTTGAAAGAAGGTGGAACGATGGGAGTGGGCGGCCGGCGGTGCGGCTAGCGATGGGTGAGCCGCTGGCCGGGGCGGCGATAGAGGCAAAAGGAGGCGGCTGGCTGATGCGGTTCGTCGAGGAAGAAGAGCAATTGATGAAGAGATGAACAGTTGAAGAAGATGAAATTGTGCGTCGGCTCCTGTAGCGGCACGCGCTCGTCAGTGATGAGGGTCGAAGTTCTCTAGCACAGCCCCACACATAGTTCACATCAAAAGAATCAAAAGTGCGCACCCTCTCATCTTCTTTGCAGTTCAATGCAACCAGAATATTAAAACGGCACAAAATCACAGTACTTCTAGAATCGCATTCTGTCCCTTTCAATAAGGCCTTGTTTAGTTGGCTAAATTTTGAAAATTTGGCTACTGTAGCACTTTCGTTTTTATTTTTCGTTTTTATTTGACAATTAGTGTTCAATCATTGACTAATTAGACTCAAAACGTTCGTCTCGCAATTTTCAATCAAACTATGCAATTAGTTTTTTTTTCCGTCTATATTTAATGCTCCATACACGTATCACAAGATTCGATGTAATGGCTACTGTAGCTTTTTTTGGGAAAATTTTTTGAAACTAAACAAGGCCTAAATCAGCTGAAGCGATCAGCCGATCACAGAGAGGAAAAAGGAATCGCCAATCACGTCGTGCAGACGAACGCAATTCAGTCTGACGAGGACTACATGATTATATTTCCTCTTTCCCGCGATCATCAAAATAAATAAACCTGGAGTCAACTGGCATTACGAAACTTTGAAGAGTCGCATATCCCATATAGCCACAGAGGAGTGTGTATTCTACTCGCGCATCCGTACCGACCGAAGCAACCAACTAATCCGTTCGGCGATAGGGCAAGCCAAAAGGCTCGCAGAAAAGGCCCCCACGGGAGAACCAAAAAACGAGCAGAAAACGGGAAAGGGTTTGGTCGTGACGGCACCAACTCCAACGACTGATTTGGTTAAGACCTGGCAACTGCATATTCACTACTATTCAGATCTTCGATCTGGAGGTGTACTGAAAAGTTGTTTGTTTTTTGCACGTTGTTTACGGGGAGAACTTTTGATCTCTTTACCTTTTTCGTTGAGAAGCCTATCGCACGTAAAGATCGTGACGACGCACGTCGCGGTGCGGGTGATAGTGAAAGTTTCTTTCGTTCGAGCGCTCTAGCTAGGCGACGGGAGAAACTGATGAGAATTTTTCTGCTTTCCGAGAAGAAATTATATTGATAATCAAGAATGCCTCCCACTGACCCACTGTTAGTGGAGATATATCCGTTGTTATGCTATCAAGGAAAAGTGGTGAAACTAACGAGGTCGGACTGTCAGATTGATGAGAGAGGAACTTAGCTGATACTTCACGGTTGCTGTGGAAATTTCTAAAATTGTTTTTGACATTTAAAAGTACATGATGCACAGACCAGATTATTGTTTCTCAAGAGTGTGGTTGAAATCTAATACACACGCATGTTAAACTAGAGAAATTGCCTCTTAAATGACTGTTTGATTGAAAACAAAATAAGAGAATCAATGATCATGAGAAATTTCGAGATATAGCGGATAACACTTCACTCCCTTCTAACTTGCATCTAAACTACTTCTTCTATTCTAAATTATAAGCCATTGTGGCTTTTCTACACTATAAAAACTCTCTCTCTCTCTCTCTCTCTCTCTCTCTGTAAAACGTCTTTAGTTTTGATAGATACATTGCTTTTATTGTGTAATCTAGATATAGGGTACATCCAAATACATACCAAAAACTACTTATCTAAAAATGTCAAAACGACTTATAATTTGAAATCGAGAGAGTACGTATCTAGACATAACGTTTATCTGGATGCATAACAAAAGATACACACCTAGAAAAGCCAGAGTAGCTTATAATTTGGGGTGGCCTGGCTTTACTACTACAAAAAAAACTTCACCGAGGCATTTGGCAAAGGGTCTCGGAGATGGTGGGCATTTGAACCGCCTCGGTTAATGCCTGAGATTAACCGAGGCGGTCACAATTAACCGCCTCACAAAATTATTTACGGAGGTGGTTAGATAACACTATTCTACTTAAGATAGAAGGTGGCCTTCTCACACAAATCGAGAAAACCCCGAACCTCTGTCCCACCCATATATAGCGGCACCGTTGCTCACGTGAGACTAGGCAAGGCCTTAGACTTATGCTTTAGTGTGGACAGGCGAGGGGATTTTTTTACAACATGCGGAGGTGGAGAGTCGAACTCGGCTTCCCACATGGGGCGACCACCAACAGAGCTACTGCTCGTTCGCAACAACTTTATAGCAATAAAATGGTTATATAGGGTTATCTCATATACTTCTCCTTTTTGAAAATGCAAGTGACTTTTCACTTTCGATACCATATCATATTGTTGTCCAAAACGTGTAAGTATTTGTAAACTGAAAGGTGAAGGGAGTACATGCTTGCGCAAAATTGTTATATATACTTACTGTCGTGGGATGATATCCTCATCTCTAACAGGTGCTAAATATTAGTTTCCATCTTAGCCTTCCTACTATAGTAGGCAAGCAAATGGTTGCTAGCTCCTTTGTGGACCCAAGCAAATTAAGAGAACCAGTCACTTGTATTTTCAGAGTAGTTAACTATTTCTACGGTTGGTGTCATTGGAATACTGGTTTTACTACGTAGTACTTTACAGTTGGGATATATATGGGCTTGACGACGGCAGATCCTTTGGAATGGCTTTAGAGTTCTAATCCCCAAACCGACCTTCTAATGTTTATATGTTCCATCCAAAAAAGATCATTTGATAGAAATGTTCACCTTGTGGTCGAGCATCGAGCGAACTTTTGTTTAGGCTAATCAATGAAGAGGTTTCGGGGCATGGGGTCGCTGTGGCATTACAGGCTCTGCCAGTGCCAGCAATACAGCACAAAACAAAAGTTGGTAGTAGCCTATTCAAAAGATATATGTATTAGGCGGGCCTCTCTCAATGCTCTCCATCTTAGCTTATGTTTTAGGCATTATTAATGCATAGCCACATAGGATTAGATCCAATAATAATATATGGTGATCACTTAAATGAGGAAAGTGAATGAGCTAGTGTCTTATGGAAGAATGCTATAGTTGAAACCCGAGACACAAAAAAAATGCATTGGTCATGGAATGCTATTTAGATACAAGCTACAAGCAAAATGTAGCCTCCTATAGTTCGCCCGGCCACAGGCCGATCTTCTTGTGACATAACAACTCTTTATTCTTAATATAATGATACGCGATGCTCTAAGAAAAAGAAGATACAAGCTTTAAACATTTTGCATTGGGAGGCTTGTTTCTTACTATGTTTTGTTTGCATTGGCTCTGTTAGAGATAGCTATGGAAATCATGTAGGAGTATCTGGAATGGGCGAATGGCGTTAGCTAGTAGCGCAGTCTCTGCATATAAATTCTGCCTTTTCTTTTCCAACGGCCGATTGAACAGTGCAGAGATTATTTTTGCGATAACTGCAAAAAGTATTCATTCCGAACAACTGTGGTCGAAAATTATCGAATTACAAAACTCAACATTATATAGTGGATTTTAACACCCACCCCCACCGCCCAAAAAATGTAAAGCATGCACGGGGGGGGATTGTTTTTTTTGAAAAATAATGGAAAAGAGCACTGTATGATTATTAAGTAGGAGTAGCAAAAAGTTAGCACCTGGAAAATGTGCTACAGCGCAAACCGGAAAAGGAAGAAGAAAAGAGATACAAACCAAAAGCTTACAACCGAACAAACATGAACATCTACGTTTGTTTGACTTATAAGCCGTACTTTTTCAGCCAACGAACAATATTTTTCTCTCGACAGCAGCCATGACTTATCAGCCAAGCGAACAGGTAATAGAGATATAGTATCTGAAAGAAAGAGAGTTGTTGTGGGGATCATCAACAAGCATGACATCTCCCTAAGCGCCCACATCCGACGAGGCGACGATACATAAGAAACCGTTCTTGGCAATCTTCCAGAGGCAGCACACGAGCTAACTCATCACGGTGATCATCATCACCTAATTAATGATGTTGAGGGTCCGGGCCTCCGGGGCTCAGGCGCTTGGACTCGTGCGCCGCCACTCCAAACGCCGGGCCTCTGCTCTGCTCCTCGCCGGGCACCGTCATCTCGGCCATTGCTGCCGGCTGCCCGTGTCCGGCCGGCAGCGCGTCCGGTCGTCCTCTCGGAACCCGAGCCGAGTCGGAGCTCAGGACCGCAGAGAGCAGCAAGACTCCGAGGAGTAGGTGGCCAAGGTGACTCGCGCCGGTACGCGCCATCGCTTGCTTCGGTGGTCCTGGGTCTTGACACTCGCCGAGCCGTGAGCTGCAGCTGCAATGCCGAGTCCTATCACTCGTGCGGACGCTAGCACTTGCAACGAGCCTAGTAAAGGTAGAAAGATCATATAAGCCGAAGCTGGTGATGAGTCTAGAGCTACGAGGAACACCACCTTATATAGAGCCAGATGTTGTGGCATCCACGTATCCACGCTCCTACGTTTTCTTTGGAGGAGTCCAATGCAGCAAGAAAAAAAAAACTCAATTCTGTGGACCTGAACGGTTAAACGGCAGTTGGTGAGGGCTTTTTAGCCGGCTGATCACTTAACAAACCAGAGACGGAGAATCTGAAAGTAACTAAACTTTGCAGCCTGTGGAAGCCGAACCACTAATCAGGCATCTCCGGAGTGCAAGCGGCCGTTCAAATCCCTCGTACAAGGATGCTTCCTTCAACCATTCGCAATGCTCCGTACTCGCACCAGAGGACGGCGTCTATCAGGGGCGGCCGAAGTGTGTTCCTACTGCGCTCAGGCTCAGGCTCAGGGGAAACACAGGGCAACGGGCAATGGCTTCTTGTGCGTACCACGCGATCGAATGGCACTAGCTGCCGCTAGGCAACTGGCGGAGCAACCAAGTGAATTCTTCGGAATACATTTTGATTGATTGATTCATCTCAAAAACGTTCGGTTTTGATCCTGACCGGCGATGAAAGAAAAGGAGAGCGCGCAACGTTGGACGAGATAGGTAGGATAGGACTCGGCAGCCATAACAAAATGAAGCAACCAATCCAATGAGAGATGAAATGGAGGGGGACGAATGAAGTCTGTCCTGGTAATGAAGTTTTCTTTTTCTTTTTTGACGGGGTACAATGTAAATTTCTACCTATTTTACCGAAGAAAACACAAGGGAAATTATAGAACATACCCTATATTAATAACTTGCCTGCAATGTAATTTGGCAAACTTGTAGCCATTCGGCTCTGAGCAAAATTAATGCATATTCAGGTGGGAATTCTCTCCCACTGTGACTTTAAAAAAAACTTTTCCAACGACTTCCATGATGCCTACAGCCTATGGAGCCGGTAGGTCGTAGGCGTTAGCTTAACGTCCTATGGCCACTTAGACTGCGTTTGGTTCAAAAATGATATGGGATGGTTCCGTCCCCTTTTTTTTTTTTTGAAATGGAATCGTCCTATCATCATGTTTGGTTGAAAAAACGTGTTCATCTCAATTTTTTTAGAGAGATGAAAAGGAATAGGGGTGACTCCATTTTAACACTGTCAGCCACATTGTTAGCAAGTCCCATATGTCATGTTCTTCACCTTCTTCCCCTATTTTGGACGGAAAGCGCCCTCCACACATGGCTGCCCTCCTGTTGGCTGCCGCGTTGCCCACGTGGCCTGCAGGAACTTGACAGCGGACACCGCACCGGCTGCACCACCCTGCCCTCGTCCTCCACATATGTGCAGCCTCATCTTCCGCATCTGTGTCGCCACACACCCGATCCGCGTAGCATCGCCGCCAGGCACCGCCCATGGCATCCTCCACACCTGTGCGGCCTCACCACCACCATCCCACGGCCTCACCAGCAAACTCCCTCGCCCACGCTCCCAATCCCCGCAACAAGTGGCGGATCCAGAAAAAATTTTAGGGGGGCTAAATAAAAGTGCGACAGCAACATATCTTCGACTGCTGCTCGATCTTAGGTTTCAGCCCCACCTACACGATAGAAATTTGCCTAAAATTTCATGGGGGCTCCAGGCGCCCAGGCTCCAGATCGGTAGGGGCCTTGAGCCCCCCCATTGAATCTTGTTGCGCCATGGCCGCCGCCCTATGCATCACTCACCCTGCCGGCACCACTGCACCTGCACATCGCCCACCAACCCAGCACCGCCAACATCTGCACATCACGGAGATGAACGGCCATGTGATGAGAACCGAAGCCATCCCTTATGGTCCCTTCATTTTCTCGGGACAAAGGCAGCCTTGCATTAGAGCATCTTCAAGAGTTCTCTAATTTTTTCTCCGAAAAATTTGTAGTTTGACAATTCCTAAAAAGATATTAGAAGGGAAAAGATAGTTATCTCCGAGAGTTTTTAATAAATGTCATTAAAAAATCAAATTTGAGGCCCACGTCATCTCCACGCTAGTTCATGGCCGCTATCGGCTCAGAGGTGGGCACGAAGCGGGTCTCATACCGGTGTTGGCGAGGAAGCCCGGCATCGCGCTCGGCGGCAGCGACGCTGCTCCCGTTCCCACCCGCCTGGACGCTGCATGGCGTGTAAGGTCTGCCTCTGGCGCCTGGCCCCGCCATGCCCGAACGCTCCGCTTTGTCCCTCGGAGCCCGTCCCCGCTGCCGCTGCCGCCCCAGGCGGGCGTAAGACGTCCGTTCGTCTCAGGCCTGCCCCTGCCCGCCCGGCCGCGCACGCCACTGCAGTGCAACATGCAAAGCAAGCCTGCGGCTGCCTACGACGGCACGTTCTGTGCGCATGCTCGTACTCTAGGCGTGTACTGCTACAGTAGGCGAGAGGCAGCTGCCGCGGCTATGACGGAGTAGGGGCCTGGCTGTGCCTGCTAGGTTGCTACTGCCAGCCAGCCACGTGATAAAAAACGGATTTCACCCATGAGGGCAGGCTGAATCTGCCCTGGGTTCTACGGCGATTCTATTCTGCAACAGTGGAGCGCCTTCTTGTCGGGGGCACGCTTCCAAAGCGCGACGGCAAGCGCGGCCGTCGAGCAGAGCGTAGAGTTACGCGGAAAGGAGGGAGAATTTTCCAAGTCCTAAAAGATTAGAAGTAAGTATTAGGAGTTGTTGGAGAGAAGTTTTTTCACAGCTTTCTAAAAAATAAGGATTAGAAAGATGTTTAGGGAGGGAGCTCTAGAAGATGCTCTAAGCTAGCCCGTACCATTGTCTGACGAGCCCCACAACGATGTGAGAAGAGGGCCAGGCAAGCCTGGCCGGTTGAAGACGAGAGAGGAATTGGATGGGAGAGAAAAGATCGTGAAGAAAAATATAGCCCTAACATGCGGGATCCACATGTCAGGGTTGGTAAAGGAGGTGAGGAAAAAAATGGGATTCATCTATAACAAGATAAAGGGGATTGAAGAAAGGGGAACATGTGAAAATACTCTTAGGCATCAATTGGAATTGTTAGGAAAGTGTCCATTTTTTTACAAACACAAACTCTCATATACATGCGCACATACACTGCTATGAACACACGCACTCACACCCTACTCCTATAAAAACATCTAAAAGACTCGGTCCACAATCTCAAGATTAATGAAATCACCACATGTGCCTTCCTGTCAACGGACAAATCACCCATCACTGAAAGAATAACACGATTAAAAACCTTAATAAGTCTATGCATCAAGTCAAAACTTAAACCCAATTTGACAGGTTCTATAACACAGAATCTAACCAGCTGTGCTAGTTTGCAAGGAAAGCGTTTTTTTTTGTGAAACTACAAGTACAAAATCATATCAAGTCACTTGCAAGATTCCACAACACAGACCAGCACAACTACAGCAATATGCCCCACGCCATTACTGATGGCAAACCAAATAAGGATGGTTCAAACCTGAGGATGAGACCTATGGGCATTTAGTCGAGACGACCAGGGCAACGAGAGGTCATACAGCATTGCATCTCGAAATGGCTTTCCACTCACTAGTGTTAAACCCGCATTTACATTAGTGCAAGGTTATGGGATAGCTTCCACTGACTATTACATTGGTCTTATCCTGTTTATTATATTTATTAAAAGTAGTGTATGTCACGTGTCCAGCTGTAAATAGAGATAAGTCCATTTCCTGCGTAATCAGAAACAGTTTCACTTAATAGATTACTCCGCAGCACCACTTCATCCACTACCGGTCCTATCGTTAGCTGAGTGACCAGATCATAAGGATGTAAAGCACAGTCGTTTTTCGCTATATCAAAAATTTAAACAAAGCAAACAAAGTTCATGAATGTGCATAGCACATGCACTAATTGGATCTGAAGGAATTTTAAGCCAAAAAAAAAAATCAACCTAGCAAACGACATGAATTACTTCATGGAGGGAGGACCTGTTCTCCAATCACCATGGGACGGTATAAGGTCCCGCTGCTCAAAGATACAGGCCTACAGCTTCACTAACATCTATCTAGCATGCATGTTCGAAAAGTAAATAAACGAAAAGAACCCACTATGCCTTTGGTTATTAGCCATCTGAATCTGTCAGTGCTACTGAAGTGTGCTGCAACTAGATAACCAACATAGTAACGAAATTTACCAGCTTTCAACACTAACATACCAAAAGCTGGAAGCTAGTAATAAGCAACAAAAATTACTATAGCTTTTGACTGTATACGTCAGGCTTAGGGTGGAAAGGGCAGCCTAGTCATCAACCACGGTTCTGCTCTTGCAACTTCTCCCTAGCGGCCTAGCATCAATCCAATGTGAACGTTTTGTCACCAACTGCAATTGGCATAGATGAAACCAGGTATTGCCTAGTGCAGCAGTGCCATTCTAGTCATCGAGTCCACAAGGTCATATCTCACTACCAGAAATCCAGAATTATTAGGTAATAAGATGTAGGCACTCAACAGTTGCTACGCTATGTGAACGGACTCATCCACAGAAGCCAACCTTGTACCAAAATGCACGAGGAAGGTCAAGATACTTCAAGATTGCATTTACGCTGGATCCTGAGCTCTTTTGTTGCATTTACATTACCCACGCTCCGCTGGATAAGTCATTTTCTCCCTGCATTTGTCCCGCGTCAGTGCTGCCAGGCACAGAAGCACCAAGTTACCAAGACAAACTAATGACTGAGGTTTCCATTACGAACGCAAGCCACTAATAATCAGCAATGATGATAACTTACTAGTAGCAGTAGAAGTGGCAGATAAGATGTTCCAGCAAAGAGCAATATTGATAATAGACTGACAAGAAGTTCATAAATACAGGTAACGAAAATAACAGAGTTGTCCAGTCAATCAGTACTAGCTCTTTCCAGCCTAAACTAGAAGACAAATTAAACTGACAGGACGCATGCAAGGCAAACATCAAAATGTTTTGCAGCTTGCGTAAATAAGCATCATTCTACGTGTACCGCAATTTTAATTTGGAACCCACATTTCATCAAATATTTTTTTCCCTGCGCCAAATCGTGACATTACTTTCATTCGGGGATTGATGCTTTTCAGTTACTTTAGAAAAGAAAGAAAAATGCTACAAGCTAGGTGAATGTTTTTTGGTATCAAATGAAATGTTTTAAAACTGTTTACCATTTTATAACTGCACATGTCTGCATCTTATTCCTGCACCATTTCCTACTGTGGGATACGAAATGCACGTTATGAACCTCGAACAGTAAAACAAGAAAGACTAACATCAAACAAATTTCAGAGGTGTTACCAGCCATGTAGTAGTAATTCTTGAAACAGTAAAAGAAAAGGTGGTCTGTTTCAAGAATTGGCCAGAGTAGTATATGACACATCCCTATATATATAAAAAAAGAGGGGGGATCCAAGTTGCCAAAATAGCTCAAAATGAGGGTGCCAATGCAATTCTTGCGGCTGAACACACACTTAAAAAGGCACCACAACAGAATTATTTACTCTCAAATCAGAAGTACAGAATGTGGTCGCTAATGGCTACCAGCGGCAACTAGATACCTAATGGAAGGGGGTGTGCGTGGGGGTACAAAGTAAATTGTCGGGAGAAAGAACTTGTCATGCATTAAATAAAGACTGGCTGGTAATGTGTACGAGGGTAGTTTGCTGATGTGCCTGAGAACATGGCAAAAATTGTTGATGAGGCTAACTATGTGGAGACTAAGAACACGAATGAGAAGTAACTTGGGCCATAAAAAATGATAGATAGTAGGTACCACTACAGGAATTACAACTTTCTCCATCTTAACTTATAAAGAACTATATATATCTTAAGCTGATAACATAAATCGAAATAGGGTGCTTAACTTACAGCGTTAATGGTGCCAACTTCCTCAAATAAGTACTTCTTGGATCTCAGGTTGTTTGCGAATTTCTGAATAGAGCAAATGTTCATGTGGTGAAGGGATAACAAGTTTAATATCCATTTAATTTTAAAAAACAAAGTTGATAAAAATCAATTAGGATATTTTCTCCTCAATCATTGGGTGGTTTAACATCAGCATTGTATTGTTGTTAACGATAGCCCGAACTGCTAGCTCTTTAGCTTCTGCATGTTTCCTTTTCAATAGAATGCATATCTGCAGTCAGAAAATAATAGGTGAAACGAATTGTTAATCTAGATCCATCTGTATACTAGCTCAGGAATACACCATCATGGTAAAGCAAAAAAAAAAAGGTTAAAAGAAGGCGACAACATTAGAACAAAAGAATAATTCTTTTTAATGAAATAGGAACTGCTGAAATTTTCAAATATCAAGTTCTCAGGCTATGTCAATTAAAAAGGTGGATGAGCCTCTGGTAGAACCCAGAGAATCATGCTAAGATGCAATACATCATCACATTGGAGGGTTTTCTTTTAGATGGCATAGTTGAAAAACCTTTCTTTTGAGTAAATTTATAGGTTATAATTGTAAAGCATTAAGAAAACCTCTACAGGCAGTTTCACACATAAAAGCAATTGGCGCTCTAGTTATAGTAACAAAGCATTGGACAGTTCTTTTATGGTAAAGCACTGGACTGATTTACTCACATCCTCAAGCTCCTTTCTACAAGCCTCAGCTTTTTCTATGTTTCCATCATTTTCTAACAACACAGGCAACTCTAGATCTGAAATGGCTTCCATCCCAGGTGGCATACATGAAGAGCTTGCATTATCCACATGAGCTTTTGGAGTTTCACTTCCCAGAATCTAACAAGTGAAATCAATAAGGGCATATTAATTAACATAATACTGACTCCAGTTCCAGATGCGAGTCAACCTTTTCCTTTTTCACAAACTGGAAGTGAATTTTTTTTTCCTCAAATGGGTTGAAGAGCTGATTCCATTAAGAAGAAGAAAAGAGTCATAGACACAACACCGCACACAACTATAAGTGAGGATTGACAAATGGTTTCTGTGGTAATATATCTTTAAACAAAATAAAATATATGACCTTATGGAAGTATTTCTTGACAAATCGACATTTTTTTCATTCAACGTTCCATTCATGTTAGTGATCATTGTTTCAGATATTTTGACTATGTACCACAATGACCTACGTTTCAAATCGTTTGAAACTATACAATACATATACTTACAGATCTTCAGAAATGTTCATCACACTTACCATTTCGTTTCCCAACTCTGGAACAGTTCGAGGTGATTTTCTGCATTTAAATTTGCAAAGTTGTTACTCCCTCAATCCCAAATTATAAGACGTTTTGGGTTTTCTAGATACATAATTTTTGCTATGCACTTAGATACATACTATGTCTAGAGACATAGTAAAAGCAATGTATCTAGAAAAACGGAAACGTCTTATAATTTGGAATGGAAGGAGTACTTCAAAAAGAGAGATTTTATGTAGCCATCAAAGATGTTATGTTTATCAAATACGATCTAACCAACAACCTTACAGCTGGAGATCTCATGATGTGTCTGAGCACTTTAGGAGCTTTTGGATCTAGAACAGATTCCTGCAAGTCAACAGCATGAACAAAATTACTAATGAACTAACAGACATTTTTTTTCTTTTATATATCTCTAAAAAAAGGCACACGAGACAATACTGACAAGTTCAAATATGGTGATTAAATTTTCTGACTATTGCCACAAAAGAGATAACTAGTATCTAGAATAATAAATGCACTACAGTAGGTTTTTGATGGAACTCCATAAAATGTATTTACAGGATAAACTAGAAATATGATATTTGAGAACATAAGTCCTTATACAATTTTTTGATATCACATGGTGCGTTTCTTCAGTAATACATAGGGTCTCAAAATAGGAAAAAGAACAAGCTATAATATAAGGTATACAAGGTTTACAGTTAAATGAATCTGATCCTTATCATGTCATTCTAGGAACTTCCATAGTTCCACGGAGTGTTTTTTTTTTAAGGTTATGACATACGGAGTATAGTGAATAACCTCTTGTAAAGTTTAATATGAAATCATCAAGAACAATATAGTATTGTTCGACAAAATAGTAAAAAAAAAGACTATTGTAAAAACTTGGCCCATAGGGACAGACGTCCCCAAGGGCCAAGGCATTACAATTAAGGTTGCGAAAGACCCAGAACGCCAGCTGCCCAGGACGCAGTTAAGTGTATTTCTGCAAGTAGTTAACTCAGCGAGGTCCTCTTGTTTCTGTTTACAAAGTAGCTTCTCGATAAAAATGAAGAACAAACCTCAATACTTGACAGGAAGAGAACATACCTCAGGAACTTTCTCCATTATGGATGGGCTAGGCAGTGCAGGTTTTCCTTCAGGAATGGAGTCAAGGATTCTGGATGTTGTTACAGGGGAACCCTTTGTCCCACTCACTTGTACTGATTCCTTCTCTGGAACCATGTCAGACTTCGGACTTCTGATTCCTAATTTTGTAACTCTAAATTCAGATAGATTATGTTAGCTGCCACTATGTAAGTTTAGAAGGAAAAGAGCATCTGGAGGAGAATATTATACCTTGCTCCTGTCAGTTGAGAAATTGTTGATATTTTATTATCTTTGGAAGGAACACCTTGCAATGAATCAGAAGCATTGCTACTTTTCAGAAGCACATGATTTGCAACAACTTTATGTCCAGCGCTATGTGCTGTGCTGCTTCGAGCATTCAGTAGAGACAAGTTCCCCGAGATAGGAGGCTCAAGGCTGAAAAAAAGGTACATACATATATATATTAGCATCGAATCCAAACTGACAAGAAGTATTCAAGAATGCCCTGATTATACTAAAAAGGTGGTTTTAGCTGCAGAAGTAAATGCATTTATAGAAATACATAGAAAGGACAGGTCAGAACAGCAATGTTTATAATGAAAACTAGTTCTAAAGAACAAGAAAGATAACATAGAAATTGGGCCTGTTTGCTGCAGATTTTATGGCTGCTGCTGCAACAGCAATGCGCCTGCACGGCACTGTTGCGAGTGCTGGATGCAGCTGCAGCAGCCACACCAAACACAGCCAATTTATTGTACAAGCTCCATTCAGGTTAATATCAGGTCTAGTAGCAGATATATCAAAGATGCTGAAAATAGTGAAACTGTGTCATCCATGATAAATTGACAACGTGTAAAGAACAAAGAGAACTTGAGAAGTGTTGTGCATGCGGCATGCCCAAAAAGAACCTGCAGAACAAATTTTAAATATGATGCATTCATAATGCGCAAGATTTAGGATGATAATTTTTTACCCTAATTTGGCATTTCTGTCACCTTTGACATTCATGGAGGTGGCCAATAGCCCATTTGATGCTGGCTTGCTGTATGTTTTTGATAAAGCAGTGTTAGATTTGTCAGCTACTGCATTAGCTTGCATGTGTTCCCTGCGTATTTAAAACCACATTCATTATTCGATACACTATTAATATTCATGAGTATATGCTAATCTGTCCATCTGTCTACCACCTCTTCAAGTCTGTAGGATGTGTGGTCATCTTTTTTATCACTTTACTTGCACTGGACAATTGATTTAAGGCTGTTTCTGAAGCTAGTTCGACCCTGGTTGCTTTCATATGTACAGACTTGGATAAAAGAGAGAAGCTTCCTCTCTCCTTCGTCAGTGCAGGTTCAACACTTCTGATTTCCCTGCATGTAATTGTGAGAAATTATTTCAGGAAAGTAACAAACATGTAAATAGATCCATTGTGTCACACTTCTCCATATAGATTTGCTGCCACTACATTAGAATGCATTATGAACAGAAGCATGGTGCACCAGAAGTAGAATAGCAGGCTATGCATTCTATGTTACTATTTGATTATGATAAATCACAGTGGAGATCTAAAAGTGTTTTATATTGTCAATGATGAAGGCACATTTGACAAAGACAGACCTCTGCATTGAACAAAAGAGACTCTTGGGACCTGAAATCTCTTCCTCAGTATTCTTTGTCCCATGTGATGTCTTCTTTAAAAACTTCTTAGGAGCGCCACTAAAACTTTGGTTGTCTTGACTTCCTTCATTAAGGAAAACACTTTCCTCCAGAACCTCATTCCGGGAATTAAATTGGCCCACTGGTCTTCTTGAGACATTGGGATTAATAATGCTGGTGTCCCTGGATCGTAAACCATTCGACTGCTCATCGTCATTACTCTCCCTTGATACATGAACTTTACCAGAGTTCAGTATAGGTGCATCTTTACTGTTCACAGGATCTGCTAGCCCTTGTGTTGGATCTTCACTAGATATGGCACTGCAGGAGAAATCCTGAGAAGGTAGGTTAACAGCTGCCTTCGTTGGGTATATCTCTTTAGGTTGCTCTCCAGGATTGTCATTGAGCATTGAATCTACTTTAGTTTGTTCCACTGTAGCAGGATTAACACTGGTACGTTCTTGCATCTTGTCAGATGAATCAGCAGCATCGATATTTGAAGTCTGTTGACTGACATTCTTCACACTCTCATGATTGGTCAGATGAGAAGGTCTCAAAGTGCAAGTATCAAGTGTATGTGCTTTGTCCGTACTATTATTCTCTTCAAGAATAGCATTGCCCTTGGCTGAAAGACCTCTTTGTGTATCCTTCTTAACCTCTGAGGAGACAGGGCCAGATTTGCCAGTAAATCTACTCGTACTATTTTCTTCAATTCCTAGTTTTCCATCAAGACTAAACTTTCCCAGCCTGTAAGCAAACAAAAACCAGAAACAGAAAAACTAATAGCATGAAGTTTCATATCAATATATAATACGATTTTCAGTCTTCTAGCACCAGTGGTTTAACTTACTCATTGAAATCAAAGGAAAAGGAGAAATTATCCTTGTCAGTTTCCTTTTTCTCTTCAGAAAGATCTGCATTTGAACTGCTGTGCTTCACCTTTTTCTTCTGAGGACTAGAAAAATCCAGATCAGACATGCCCATTTGAAAGGATGGTAATTTGTCAAAGGCTCCATCAAGCCCGAAATCATCTCTGGTTAAAGAAATGATTTGTTAGAACCATCATGAACAACGAGCAGTTGATCACATCAAAAGTTGATGGATTCAAGCCTTTCAAAAGATTAACTCACAGATTGTCAAAGCTGAATTTCTTGCTACTCTTTGGAACTGTGAAGTCAATTGTGTCTTTTCCTGATTTTGGTAACTTCCAAGATGAAAGAAAATCATTCCCAAAGTCTTCATCTGCCAACATATAACAAGCATATGTCAGGTCAAATTAGAAAGAAACTGCCATCAACTCATAGCAAAAAAAAATGTGGATACTGTTCAAGCATCATAGATTACTTTCCGAAGGTAGTGCTAGTAAGAGTCAAGTATGATGAACATGGCCCTTGGTAGTTTCCAATGAGAGGTCTTGGTTTTAGCAGTATAGTGAATTTTAGTCCATGCAGAGCATATAGATAAGGAATAAGGGCCTGAGATGATCTATTAGACGGGTATTTGACAGCTCAAAAGAGGACATACCAAGGGATGAACTTATATTTTTAGCATTTGCAGTAGAGACAGCTCTTTTTCGTGATTCATCCATACTGTCAACAAACTCAGACCGCATTCAAGGAAAAAGGGGAAATACGTTAGAAACTATCAAATTTATATAAAGGCAAGATTATTGTGTTACAATAAATATTATTACATTACCAAATCAATGGATACAGGAAAATACCAAAACACACACACACACACACACACACACACAGCCCCCTTTAGAACTGGACATTGCATTGATACTAAACTAATCCAGAAGGGGGAGGGAAATCATCTCAGTGATGATGAATAAAACATGTCTTGCCAAACAGAAAAAAAAAATCAGAAGCGGAATAGTTTGTCTACTAGTCACAACAAGTTTGGGTCACCTGCCTCCCTCTCTCAGAGATGTTATATTCAATTGACACCATCCAGTAACTAGCTCTAAACATTTATATCAGCGGCACAACAATGGGAGGAACAATGCACCTTAAATTTTAGGGGCTTTGGCATTCATACCCCCAGTTTCAGGGCTTGTGGTGACTTTGCCCCTATTTTTTGAACTTTGTGTTTTTGCCTGTTATTTCAAATCGAAGCAAGACTTTGCCCCTACTCTGTTAAGTCATTGTAACGGTGTTAATTCTGAGGTGAAATAACAATCGTGCCCTCGCTTTTGTTGGTTCTTTGTGATTTTACTTTGACCCCTGTTTTGGATTCAAAGGTTTAGACATTATTTTTTCAGATTGTCAAGGATTTTGACAACAAAATTTAACACAAGTGGCTGCATATGTTTTAAATCTGTGGAAATTTTGCAAAATTTTAACAGCATTTATGCCAAAATATTGACATACACAAACACAAATCATTATCACACAAACTGCATTTAATCATGAAATGCATAAACAACAACCATAATATGAGTACCCACACCGTATGCATCAGGGTACATCTTACAGCTCCCGTCATTTAATTTAACTAACACAGAATCCGCCAGCGATGTTAACTTCAACTGCAGGTCCCTCACGATTCACTGGCGGATCCAGTAAAGGGACATGGGTGTACACATGTACACCCAATAATTTTTGCAAAACTTCGAAGTTAGGAGGCATGTCAAATAGCTAAATAGCTTTAGGTTACGGTAGTCGGTGCTCAGTTTGAAGAGAAGGGGTGGGAATACCTGGTGGGTGCTCGTCGCCGGCGAAGAGACCAACTGCCTCAGCAGCTGGCTTAGGGTGGCGGCGGCGGCCCACCAATCGTCGGAGAGGGAGAGGGAGAGGGAGACAGAACGCACGAGTAAGGATGCAGCGGACGGAAGGGGAATGCACGTTATGCAGCGACGGGGGAAAGGGGGGGAAAAAAAGCGCACCCGCATGGGCCTTCTTCTGGACCGGTTGTTTTTCACAATTTCTTTCGAAATTTCTGTTTTCGTTTCTTTATTTTTCTCTCTCCTTTTTAAAATTTTTATTTTTGTTGACTTCATATGTCTTCTCGTCATGGGACACCATCAATGGCTAGTACAACATTTGTTTTAAATAACATAAATAATATTGATATTTATGAGTATATAGTAAATTGTAAATAAGTAAATGGAACTTTTATATTTTATTAAGGTTGAATATTTTCCTATAGAAGCTAGAAGTCATTATAACAATTTCACAAGTGTTAAATGCACCCGTGGCTTCTGAACTTGAAAGCATGTGTCACATAGGTGCACCGCAGATCATCTATGCCAACTATGTCAACATTTATTGCTGATGTGGTGTGGTAACGTGGCATGTATTTTTTTTATTTAACCCATCCTATTTATTTTTTGTCTTGAAAAATAGATCCTCCCTTCTCCTCTCTCCCTTCCCACGGCGGCACCGAGGCCACTCGCCATCGTGTCGATGATATAGCCAATCGATCGATGCTGTATTGTACGCCAGAACCAATGGAAGGACCCAGAGCAATTATTTGCCAGTTTGTTCGTCGATGGATCCACCTCGGCGGGTGCCGCTACCGCACGCGGGGGGTTTTATTTTTAATCCTTTTAAAAAGAATTTCTAAAAATAACATCTTTGAAATTTTATTTCTAAAACCAACCTGTCTGGCCGATCCAATCTCCTTGGCGCGGCTAAATGCCTATGACGCGCCAACCCGCTTGGCACGGCTGGCCTGCCACCATGGCAAGTCATCGGCGCGCTGACCGGATGACGTGCCGCTTCTGCCGCGCCATCACAACCGACGCAGCCCTACCATGCCACCCCGTCTGGCGCGGCATGACGATACAGAGCTGTGTGTGTCCTTCTTTCCCTTCTCCCTTCCTTCTTCCTCCTCAAGACTCCACGTCGATGCCAGACGTCGCCACCGGGCACCTTGCTGGTCAAAATTGGCTTATTTCGGCCAGGATTTTGGTGGAGGTATGCCTACTCCCCAGCAGTAAGGCAAGGTATGCCTCCACTCATTTGCTTGTTTCACGGTTGGTTTGAATATTAGCCTAGGTACCTAGGGTTTGAACAAAATCCGAATTTCCTTGAAATGGTAGACAATTTTGTTAGATCGAATACATTTAGAAACTATTGTTTACCGTTTGCCCTTACATGTACATCTAGTTCCATGTGTGTTAGAAACTAGTTTAGGTTAGCATATATGTTTAGAATTTGTAGTTAATATGTTTATATTTAGAAACTAGTTTAGGTTTTAGTTAGTTTAGGTTATATGTCTATATTTAGTTAAATTAGTTAGTTTTAGTTGGTTAGGGTTTAGGGTTATATGTTTATATTTAGTTAATTTAGTTAGTTTGGGTTATATGATTATATTTAGTTTATGGTTTAGGGTTTTAGTTATAGTATTTTATATTTAGTTAGTTATATTAGTTTAGGTTATATTTAGTTAGTTATATTAGTTTCTATTTACTTAGTTAGTTTAGGTTATAGTTTTCTAACTGTTTCTATGTCTTTGTGAACCAGGATGCCGCAACATCTAGTGTACCCCATGCTCGAGAGGTACTACAATGACAACCATCGAGCCCCCCTGCTGACTAGGTCAACCCGCTGTCGGCCTTGGGCCCATTGAGGCCACGGACCCACAAGCCGCACCACTGGGATGACCGGTACGCGTCATTCCTACGACGTGTCGGCTTTGTCGAGCTTGCCTAGGTTGTGAATTCCAGGCTACCCGACCTCGACCGGTGGAGGTCAAAGACCCACACCTTCCACCTTCTGTGCGACGAGATGATAAACACGCTGTAGGACGTTGCCCTAATTTTTGGGCTATCATTGGATGGACCACCGGTCAGTGGGATCCTCGAAACTGAGACGTGGAGGGACTTGGTGTAGTACTACTACATTATTAGGCCACCTAAGGATGTTGAGGCTGCTAGGGGCAAGTAAAGAACACATACCTCTAGTAGTTTGCATAGTTCGAAAATGTTATTTATCCTTACATTATTTGTTTGAATTGCTAGAAAATTTCTAGAGTACTATCAGGTTGGATCAGCCACCACTTTAGCATTTGCCCTCCAGGAGTTTCGGAAGGCCTGGTGGAGACGTATGCCAGAGTGTGGCTTTGACACTTTGTGAGTGCTTTAATTTCCTATTCCCCGACATGTTGGGCAACATAATCACTTGATCGGTCCTGCGGATACTCAACCAACCTTGGGAGAACATGGGACAGTACAGCTGGGACAACGCGGTCCTAACATGGACCTATATCAGCAGCTGTGCATAGCCTGCCGTCGAGATAATCTGAACGCCAACCTAGCGGTTGCTCTTACCTGCTATCCAAGTAGAACGTAAAAGAAGGATTGGCGCGTCTATCACAACGATGCTATCCACTTGTGGGACCAGAGGGAGCACACAGATCCCACAGAAGATTTCTCACATGACTAGTGCAACTTCAATGATATTGTTGGCGGTACTTAACTCCTATTTCTAACCGCCAATTCTTACATAAAATCTGCTAAAATAAACACCAAACTTAGAATTAGGGCTTATAGCTAACATATTCCATGAGTTTAGGTGATTTACCTATTTGCAGGAGGACATGTCAGAATAACATAGAAAATGTACCTAAAGTATATAAGAAAGACAACAATACAAACACCCGACATGAGCTCAAGGGGGAGAAGGCCTATAACCAAGTAAAAGAGGGCCTAAAGGAGAGGAGAATATAGATAAACCCAAACCAAATTACCTTATCTCTGCACAAGCACCACATAGGCTCACTAAGAGGCCCAAAGGAGTCAACCCACCAAAGATGGGCCAATTTGGCCCCAGTAAGGGTGCGACTGCACCCCTAGTGGCCCTATTCGGCCTGAACTTTGGTCGGTTGGCTCTTACCGCCTCTCCAAACGTCGGTTGCATGTGTTTCACAGAAGACTTGGTATGGAGGATGGTGGTTTGCTCAAGATAGGAAGGCATGCAAAGAAGCATAACTCCACTCCATCTCCACCATTGATCTTATGATGGTTTGATCCAAGGGCCATGGTGAAGAAGCACATGGATCGCTGACATGGCACATTGAGTGGCTTCCATTCCTCCTCTCAAACTATAAATACCCCATCACTCCCTCTCAAACAAGACACACCTCAAGGAGCAAGAGCAATACTAGGAGCATCATTCCAAGGCTTAGGCCATAGCTTTGTAGAGTTGTAAGGGAGAGATGTGAGGGAGAGCTCAGGAAAGCGCCAGACTTGTCGGTGTCTCCTCATCTTGTACCTCAACAAACACCTACGCTACACTTCATCGGGTTCTCCCGCTAAGTGAGTGTTCGTGGTTCTTTTGGTTGCAAAGTCTTTAATTAGTTAAACTTTACTCATACTTGTTTTTGGTTCGTCGTCCATTCCCGTGGCGGATGCTCTAGTAGAGGACTGCTGATAAAGACGGATGTTTCTAGGCAACACTAGAGTAGTAACCAATAGCGTAGACATGGTGTATGAGCTAGAAGTTACCTTCGTTTGCCTCATTCCCCACGGTTGAGGGGTAGGCGGCAGGTGGTGATAGCCCTGTCCGTCCCTTGTATTCCCCCACATCCGGGTTCGATGTAGAGCTACAGGCCAATATCGCTTGGCAGACCAGGTGTACGTCGGTGCCCAAAGTAAGCAAGTAG